AAAATGTGCTCGTAATAAAGTTTCTGTTTTTTACATTTGAGAGATCTAATTTTAGAAGAACTTTAATTGCTTCTAAGAACTAAAGTACAAGATTAAGATATTCGAAAAATTTGCTACATTCAAATTTTCAAAGCATTTTGTTAAGTATGTTTTAATTATTATTACTTATAGATAACACAAATATTTTTGTTTATTTAGCCTTAAATTTTAGGCAACAATCACAAGTTTATAATTTTGAGGTAGGTATAATTATTGGACTTCGCAAGTTGGCGCTCAATCAAATAACAAGTGGGGTACAAGTAAATCACATTCAAAAAAACCATGTTTTGATAAAAATTGTGAAGTCTATCAGGTAAATAAAAATTTACTGACGTAACCTATGTGATCTCTTATAATATGGCAATACGTTTTGGTACTAGTTGATATTAGTTAACAGAAAATTTTATCGTCCGCACTTATTATAAAGTCAATTTCGACATAACTGAAACATAATTTACATTTAAACTAATTGGTTTCACGAAAGTTGTTTCCAATTACTTTTATTTTGACGGCAATATTTGGATCAGCATTATTGAGAAGGATTTCACAAGGAGTCCGATTATTAAGTACGTCTTAAAAATATCGATCCATCACGTAAGAAGAACAAATTTGGTATACTAATCTTTTATATTTGCTGTGCTCTTTTTCAAGCTCCGCGTGTTTGTTTATACTACATTTCTCTTCATTTCTTAGAAATAGATAGAAATATTAGATAGAAAGTATATTAATAAAATATTAACCATTCTTTTGAATAAAGCTCTAATCTAAACAATATTAAGAGTTAAATTTTTTAAACTCAGAATTCATGCTTAATAAATTAAAATAACCTGAATCTATTATTTACTTTGCTTGTTATTATTTTTTTTTTGTTTAATTAGATAAATGTCACGAGATTTATTAAAACAAATCATTGAAACCTTTTACTTATAGTCAAATAAAGAAGTATACTTGTATAGCATACCATTATTATATTAAATTCCTTTTGATTTTTTACGCATCAAATAAAAAAGATTTTTAATGGATATATCCCTTGTCAGGTTAGGTCAACATCAGGATGATTATCATTATCATTACTTTTATATCATTATTATAAAATTCTCATTATCATCACATTATTACCATCACTTATAGTCATGTACATTAAAGCAAACATTATGGCACTCTATTAGTGTCGGCTGATCCATCATTTTTTTTTTTACCACAATCGTTCTGTTCCGCTATTATTCCTTCCTTATCTTCTTGATAGAAACATCTTTTTTCTATTCTTTTTAGATTTATCCCTATATACATATATTTTATTTAATATATTATGCATGTATATTTATATTTTAGTATTTATACATAGTTTTAAGGATAATAGAATTAGAAAATGAAAAAACGAAATGCTTTGCCCCTTTGTAACATGCAACCATCAATCTATTTTTTCATTGTCTTGAATATTTTATTATGGAATTTTAGAAAATTCTAGGATACAAAAAAGAAACTGGAATAGATAGTTGCTTACATATATGTATTTAAAGAGAATTTTTTTGCGTAGCCTTATATGACCAAAAAGGTGATATAATGATATATAAAAAATGTGCTTCGATACACATGATAAACAAATTAGAAGGTTAAAAATATTCGCGGTAACAATCTGCTTACTGCATAATTATAAATAAAATATTAATGCTAATGCAGCAAAAATAATTTAGAGGTAAGGTAGCAAAGCACATCTCTTATTGAAAAGTATGAAATTATTACTTTGAAATTCATTCTAAACGCATGACAATAAAACAATCATTTTGATACAACACCCTTTTATCATCGATTATTTTGACTTAAAACTATACTGTATGAATAAAAGACCTTAGAATTTAAATTGTTCAAATGTATTGTTTTTCAAATTCTGTGATAGATCGACTATATTCTTGAATTTTAAGTTATAGCTTTTCTCTTTAAAATATTCGAAATTATTATGGTAAAAATTGGGTTTTACTTGCCTTGGATTCTTTATCAATACACGATTATCAATAAAATTTTAATTGTTTGATTTTTCATAGGTTACTTTATGAAAATTGTAAAACTAAACCCAATTTAAAATTTGTTTTAATTGCGAAGAGAAGCATATTGGCAAAAGAATTCCTCCCCTCCAGCCACCGCAGACAGTCATGTCTTATTTAAAGTTTTATCAAAATAAATTACTGAAATATTGTAAGAACTTATTTAAGAATCAATAATAAGAATACAACCAAATTATGATATTATTGAAAGATAAAATTTTAACAACAAATAGAGTGTTGAAAAATAACAATAAAATTGCGTCAAACGAATGGTTTAAAGTGACAATTTTCGCTTGACTCGTTTTACAAACATTCTAGGTATATTATTTAAATTACTTTTATACGTATGTATACTAAATATAAAAGACATTGCATAGATTTAGGATGAAAAAATAAAAAAATTGAAAAAAGTGATAACGTAATGGTTGAATTGCATATACTTAAGTTAGCGAGTTGAAAAAAATTTAATATTTTTGGATAGCACATCAGTTACGGTTAAACTTTTGCTTTCATAGAATTTTCAAATAGTTTGTAGTTTCAAAAATACAAAGCGCCGTAAATTTTAATTGTACGTATTTCGGAAAGCGATAACTTGGGACGGAGGGGCTACAGCTGCAAAGGAATTTTCTTCTAACTATCTAATTCCAGCTTTTTGTCATTCAGGATACAGAAGTTTCACAAAGAGACACACAGGCGGACAATTGGACGAGTAGTCAAATAGATTGAAACTAATAACCTTTTTTTTCCAATTTTTTGTAAATTTGTTCTCATATAATGGCTAAGCCATGGAGAGAAGTTTCTCAAGTTAATTTAGGGATTTTAAAATATTAATTAGAAAATCAGTAACTTTTACATCAAAAACCTCCCACGTTGTGCAAACATTTCATTCCAAATTATAATTTTAAAAATTTATAAGGATCTTAAGAAGACAATAAACAATAGCTACAAATTAACAAAAGAAATTAAAATTTTAATTAATGCATGGAGTAATTTAAATTGTTATTAAAAATATTTTAATTAAATTATTGATCTCTGCATATTAAAATCAATTAAATTCGAAAGAAAATATGGGAAAATACGGAATTGAAAATATTCAAAATTGAAAAAATCGCAAAAAAAGTCAACTTTTAAATTTGATTTTATTTTTCTTTTTGAATGCACTTCAACAGCATTATCACGCTTAAAAATTAATAATAATTTTAATAAAAAGTGTGCATACATCTGTAGGTTGCTGTTTGTACATATAATCAGTAACTGAGTATTAAAATATGAATTGATAATATTTTACAAAATATTGAAATTATAAAAATTGTTTATAAAAAAAAAATCAATAAATAAATTATTTCGAATTGATTGCGATGACTCTTAAACACAATGCACCAAATTAATTTCATATCAGTGTCAGAAAACTTTTTAAAATAATTACTAATAAAATTGTTATTATTAATTATTTAAAAATATTCTTTCATTATGTTAAATTAATAATTTTGCCGACCGAATAAAATACGTTAAAGTATATGTATTGTGATCGCATCAATATAACATGTCGAGTTTTCTATGAACATCAAAACTTTCCATGTCAGAGAAACGAATACACAAAGTGTGCGCATTCTTCTGTATTTAAACTGAGAATAAAACGATTGGATCAATTTTTGATGTAGGTCAGAAGCAAGTAAGTACAGAAGAAAACTATTTTGCTAAATTAATATTTTGGAAGTTGAACCAAAAATTTTGAAAATTAAAAACTTGTCGCACACGTTTGTTGAACGCGTTCTGAAAATTGATGTAGAAACCTCACTCCATTACTTTTTTTAGATAAACAAGAGATAGAATTTGTCTGACAACGGTGTTTATATTCACCGCTATTTCTACTTAAGTACAATGTGAACCTATAACGAACCAGCCACAGTTTTGTCGAAATAAGAGGCCACCAACTGTGGCTTTGCTAGATCCTAAATTATATTTTCAAAAGCATCCTAGGAAAATTTCTTTTTTAATTTTAAAATTTAAATTTATTTAACAAGTTTTTCAGAAAAAACGTATTCTTGCAAGTGAACTTCAGCTAAGAATCATCAAATAGAAATAGAAAGTGATCGGTTACATGCTGAACACATCAGATATTTTTTTTTCAATTTTGTTGAAACATGAACTGCTTATCACATTCATTTAATTACAATACGAAATTTTGTCATAATTTTAATTAATTTTAATATACCCGTGATTTAGCAAATTTAAAATTTATTTTATTTTTCTACAATATTATTTGCAAAAAATTTTAAATTTATAAAATTTTTTAAATCAACGTTGTAGGTATTATCAATTATGTAAGTAATCCTTAATATGTCAGTAATATAGTCAGTATCTTAAATTTATTTGGTTCTACAAAAATTTTAATACACTACGGTTATGCAATGGTATTCCCTGTGTGAAAGAGACCTTCGAGAATCACGAATTTCACATTAAATTTTGAATATTATACTACCTATATTCATCAACAATTCAACAAGTATGATAAGGTATTTGCTAATTCAACATAAACGCATGTTTAAGTCAAAAGGAGATGACAATAGAATCGTAATTGATAATATTGAAATATTTGGAATGATATTGTAAACCTCATTTCAAATGCATAATTTTTATAAAAATGTCATGTGCCTATATAATATGTCTGAAATTTATTGTCTTTTGCATTTAAACTCGAAGACTGTAGTATTTGCTGATTCGATTACTTGTAATTTTTGATTTCTGACTATTTAATTAAAATTAAATTTGTATTTGATTTTTAATTAAAATTATAAATTTTACATTTAGATTATATAGGTATAGATAGGTAATATTATTTGTGTCACAATATTATCATAAAATTATTGAAGCTTAAAAAGTAATATCAAAATTATATAATTAAAATATGTCATTTACCTTTATGAGAATTTGTATAACGTACACCATTTTTAGTTGTCAATCCCCCACAACATGGTTGTTCATAATAAAAATGAAATGTGTTCGCATAATCACAATTAACATAAAAATATTTGTGGTTAAAAATGATAGCAAATACAAATGCCAAAATCAGAAACAATAAATTATTAAGAGAGCACATTTTCATTATAATATTAAAATAATTTCTATATTAATTATATATATACATATATATAAATTTATATATTTACACTATTATATTTTGTATAATTAATATCTTTTTTGTATACTAGGTTAAGTTGTTATGAATAGCACAATATTCTATTTCTGAAATTTATCGTTTGATTGTCCTTTCAGAGCGATTTAAAAAGTTAAAATGTTGCCCTCTAGTGATAATAATATTAACAATTATTAATATTTTTTTTTATTATTTATTTATTTATTTATTTATTCATATTATTATTTTTTTTTATTTTCACTTAAAACAATGAATATTAATTAATTTTTATATTGTTTAAAAAATAACTTTTTTATTTATCAACAATTTGCTCTTCGTTTATTTAACTGAGTATTATTTTCTTATAAAAAAAAGCATGGTAATATTATTTATGAATATAAAATTCAATTTAATTTTTTTTATTAAATTTATATTTAAATATAGACGAAAAAAAAATTCACTTGAATTTCGATATTAATAACAAATTGTTATTGTCTCAGATGACGAGCAGAAAAACAAATAAATACTTAATGTAAAAAAATGCATTAAATTTTTTTTTTTGTTTATTCAATTGTAATATTCAAGGATAATGCCTGAAGTCTCTTGAGATACACGTATATAGTTTTAAAATTCAAAATGAAAAAATTGAATGAACTGTATTATATAATAATATTGTACATATGTATGTCAAGAACAGATCATTTATTATTTGGCAAATACAATGCTACAGGACCCAAAAAAAAAAAACACAAGGATGCAAAATCAATAAAAATATTGCAACTCATAAGTAACATTTCAATTTTAGTTTGAGACTACAGTGGAATACCATCATAGAATATCTTAATTCTAAAAGGTTTATTTTCTTATAAGCAAATGAGGAATTTGAAAGATTAATTAATATAAATGAAAAAGAAGTATGGTGTCAACTCTAGGATACAAGAACAATGTTTTTCTAATACTTGGCAGATGATTTAAAGGTTCATACCACTTTTAAGTACCAACTACCTTGTATTAAAAAGTCCAACTAACAGTTAACAAAAGGATTTACACTCTTCAGACTATCATCGTTTTTGAATATCACTTAACTTTTCTCAACAGTTTGAGTGACTTTTAAAATATTACAAAATTATTTTTAAAATTGTACCACACCTATAATTTGAACAGAGAGATAACTTTTCGTAACAAACTAGTTCATGTAAAATCCGATAACTTTATATTTTATACATTATTCACGATATGAGCCATTATTTTCTGGAGCTGTCCGGCAGCTACTCAAAGAGTTATTTCTTTCTTATTCAAATTAAATTGCGTTCGTGGGGTAAAAGATCTACTTAATTTGAAAAAATCTAGATAGTGTTTCTCAATGCGCTTTTAAACAATCTGATGGAGGGCGGGACAGATAAACATATTTTCAGAATTCTTGTTGACTAAAAATACGTATACCTATTCTTTGGGTTATTGCCAAATTCTAATAATACCAGCTTTAGAGTTTCTTTTGGTATTTTTTGTAATTGGTTTTAAACAGAATTTTAAATAATAATCTAGGAGTAGCTCTTTTAAATTAGAATTAAGTTTTTAGGTTTTTTCTAATTTTGAACAACTCCTTCCTTTTTTTGCATTATTTCTTGGGAAACTGTGTTGCATGGTCTTATTGTTAAAAGAATTAATTACTTTTACTTTTTCGCAATTCTTCTTAAATTTATTACCATTTTATTTAAAAATTTTTCATTTAATTCACATATTTGAAATGCACATAAATTAAAAAAGTAAAAATTTAGAACCCTGGTTTCAGTAAAAAAATTCACATAATACACTTGTTATGCATGATATGTGAGTAAGAGTATATTATGTAATTGAAATTTTAAAAATAATTTAATTTTTAAAGGACAACATTCTTTTATTTTATTATAAGAATAGAAAATTACATAAAGGCTCGTAATTTTCTTTTTAAGCTTAATTGAATTTAAACTATTTCAAGCATTTTTTTTCTTTCTCAAATCTGTATTTGTTGGATTTCTCAATTTATTTATAATTTTCATGGTACTGCTAAAGAATAAAAGAAGAAAAAAAGTAATAACATTTTCTTCATTTGTCTTTTAGTAATAAGTACTTCATTTTTTTTCCTCAGCTCAGAAATTCTAATCTCTTCCAATACTATTACGATACTTATTTTCTATTTTCTTTATCACATTTAAACTAAAATGTTAGAAGAAAAAATGAAATGAAAACAAAATTTTTCTTATTTTTTTTTTTATATTTCTTTTCATGATTTAATCTAACTTCCTTATAGTATTATTCTTTGACTAGACCCAATGTTTAGTCATTATAAACCTCGTTTTATTCCGGTCACGTTTCCGCAAACAAAAAAAAAAGTGAAGAAATTATAGATTTAAGAAATAAAAAAACTAAGAAGCTCCCTCCAGTCCCAACTACTGTTGATATTTGTTTAATAAATAATTCTTTACATAGAGTGAATTCACATAGACTCAGCGTTCACATCTTAATGTAGCATAGCTGAAGAGACAGATTTTTAAATTTAAAATTTTTGTATTTTAAAATTTGTTATGATGTACAATACAAAATAAAATCTTAGTTCTTTTCATATATCAAACAGTATTCGTATATAAAACTTGTAAAATTTCGAGCGCTAGAAATTAACAGAAACCGCGTATTTAAAATCTCTGAAAAGATATCTAACACATTTACAAAAACTTTAATATAATAATTTTCAGACTAATAGGTTAAGTCTAATAGGTTTCAGACTTTTAACAGGGCTCAAGTGTTCCTATTTTCTAAGTAAATACAAATATTCGAATTATTATATTTATTCGGTCACTTTCATATTACAAAATCAACGTTTACTAAGGTGAAGTATCGTCTTTTATATTGATTGTGGAGAAATTTTGAAGAAATATTCAATTTAGCTCAAAACTAGTTTTGAAAGTAGAGAAAAATCGAGTGGGCGTCTGGAAAAAAGTCTATGTTTTTTATAATCTTTCAAAGTGTAGCTTTGCAAGTTGGTTCATTTGATTTATTTCATATTTTTCAGCCATAAAGTCGTAAATTTAAATTTCAAATGTAAAAAATGTAATCTGTAAACTATTTACGCTGCAGCATTTAGAACTATTTAAAGGTGGTTTAAAACCAGTTTTTTTTTTGCAATGTTCAATCTGCGTTACGTTTATGTAACGTGAAAATTTCATAAAACTCTATAACAAGTCTTACGTTATATTAGTTCATTAGCACTTAGACTATCGCCGTTGTAATGTCTATATGAAGATTTATCATACATAATGTAGGTTCAGAAAGTGGAATTTAGGTCTTGAATTCGGAAAAAGGGTTTTGCATTTCTTTTTATTTTGAAAGTCTAATAATTAAAATACTTCAGTTATTAAAAAAGTGAGGCACTGCCAAAAGCCGAAATGTTTATTGTATTTATAGGTGTAAATGTAATTCATAATGAAAACCTTTTACCAATTCTGTTGTTTTCAATCTTCTTTGGGAAGATCACAATTTTACAGTTAGGAAAAAAAAGAACTGATGTTCTCCCCACCCTACATAAATAATTGCAAAATTTCTATATATACATATATATTTACTACAAAAGTACTGTAGCTAATATTGTACAAATAGGTACTCGTATACTTATTAATTAAGTATTTAAGTATTAAAATAGGGTGATTTTTTATTGATTAAAAAATCGAAAAAAAACTTAAATTATTTTAACTTACAATGATGAAAATGTAATATTAATCGGCATTAACTTGCACAAGCTCTGCGTCATATGAATTCCGGCATATAAAACTACAGCTGTCTTAATTATTATTCATTTGAAAATTCTTGAGAATAGCCTTATTTCCATAAGACTTTTATCATTTTCTTTCTATACGAGTATTAACTTTTTTCATTATAATTAAACTTATTAAGCAACTGTAAAATGAGGCGTGGGGAACTACTGGGTTACAATATTAGAGAATCATTGCATCATTGTATGAAATATTCATATAAATAGTAGCATTCGAACTAGTCTACTACAAAAATTGGCTAGCTGTATATCTGGTACAACTATTTGTCAAGACTACTTGTAGATGTTGATGAAGTTCAGGTCAGGATGAATATATAGTGTTCGTTATTGATTGTACTAGCTTCCCTTTCTCAATTTTTAAATAATTAAGGACTGATGATTCCGTCGTGCTTTTGAACAAACCAAGAAGTAATTTTTACTAGATTTAAAGTACGATATCAAGCTGCTTTACCCATTTTACAGAATTATTCAAAATAATTATCGCAATATGCATTTATTTTTAATTAGGATCTTAGAAAAATATGTACATGGAAATAATATATACACACATCCAAACATATTTTATATCACTTTTAAGTATAAGTACTTAGAATTTTATAAAAAATAGAATTTCTTGCTCTAATTTTACGTAATATGAAGTATTCCTAGGAATGTCAATATAAGTATGTATATGAGTACGTGAGTTCTTCAATATCTATTTCGGTATTAAAATAGAAATCGCAAATATATATGTATATACATACATATATATATATATTTAGGAAAAAATCACAAATATAACAGCTGATGATGATTAATTTTCATAATAAAATTTTCTTTTGCTTTATGAGTTTTAAAATTTTACGATAATCTCATTTAAAATTAGTTGGTAAAAAGTGATTGAAAGTGATTTAGAAAAAGTTGTACGATATCTTTATTATACCCGTACGAACGTATGTTCGAAGGGTATACTAAATTTGCCTTACCGTTTGTAACGCTAAGAAATAACGGTGTTAGATATAGACTCAAGTGTATGTTTTTGATAAGCGTCAAATTCTGAGTTGATTTAGCTTTGTCTGTCCGTCCGTCCGTCCGTCCGTCCGTCCGT